CATTGTACATGTGTATAGTGACAATAAAGGCATTCAATCTTCTATTTAAATTAATAATAAAATAAAGAACAGCAAGAGAGCATAATGCCTGCTTAAAACATACAAGGACATGGAAAACATCAAGTAGTAGTAGTACACGATAAAATAAAGAGACAGAGTTTGACTGTGGGAAGACTATTAACAGTAGAAAAGAGACATCTTTAAATGTCTGGTGTGACATTTAGGAGGATCTATAGGCAGAAATGGAATATGCATAACTGTGTTTTCTTTGGTGTATAATCACCTGAATATAGGAATCTTTATGTTTTATTTTACATGAGAATAAGCCATTTATATCTACAGATGCCGCGAGGCCGTGTGCCATGTTTCTACAGAAGAAGAAGAAGAAGATGTACTTTATTGATCCCCTAGGGGGAAATTGTTTTTTTCACTCTTTTTTTCTTACACACACACACAGGCTGAAATGCACACTGCATGCACATCCTTCACACTGGAACTACAAAAGTAAAGTGCGTCTACAAAAAAACACAAACTCCAAGCTCCTCCAGTAACAAGTCATACTGAGTATTAGCAGTGTGTTGCCTCACACAGAAAGGCATTCCACCATCATGTAATATTAGCGGCAATTAAAAACATTTTTACTCACAAATAACATGGGGGATTTGCGTTTACAGGGGTATCACACAGGACGATGGGAAAAAGCACTTGGAGGTCCGGGGCAGCTGTTAAGCTCATGGTCACCTAGAAGGGACACAAGAGAGAAAAAAAGACTTTAAATTCATCCTGAGGCTGTTTTAAAGAACCAGTGAATCTCTCTGAACAAGTAAATGAATGATTTCATCCAGCATCGGGTACCAACCTCAACAATGTAGTCCACTTCCAGAATGCTGCAGTTAGAAATGCTGAGTGATGTAGGCAAGGGTATGGGGAGCATGATCTCCGTGCGCAAGTCGGAAGTATTAGCAGGGACGGGCTGTCCGGTCACATATGCCAAGTTTTTGATAACCTTCCTCTTACTGACCCTGCTGTGGGTGTAGTAAACCACTTCCTGTTGCAGTTTCACCGTCGGAGTAGCTGTTCGAGACGAATGGTTACTGAAGTTGCAAATGACTTTCACAGTTTCACCTGGAGGAAGAACAGACACAGTGTTTGGATGTGGTTATTTTAATGGAAGCTTTCAAGTTTTCACTTACTATCATGATTATTTCATTCAGTGGATGGATACAGTACCAGGGATGAAGGCTTTCTTCTCTGTGCTGGCTGTCACTGTGATCGGACCCGAGGCACACCACAGGCAGCACAGTGTCATGGTGTTGTGGCCTGAGAGAGGAGCCTGCAGAAAAACAACACAGAGACAGTGGTGCAGTGGAATATGTGGAGCAAATATAATCTGTCTATTTCTTATACTTTAGTGCTGTGCAATTGTGAGTACCACTTCCATCCCTTTGTGCATTGCATTGTGGGATAACGATGTCCACCAACAACACACTCTTCCCCTCGTCAGGATCTCGTTTTCAGAGCTTTATTGTCTCGGTTGTATGCGAACATGTTGCACATTTCTGAATCTATGTGCTCAACCAAACTACTGGCAAACTGCTGCCAGTGTGGCATGGTCATGGATCACTTACCGACAGCTCTGGGTTGCTGGTATCAATGCGGTTCACAAAGTTCAACTCTGTCACAAAGTCCTTGCTTATATGCCAGGGTCTGTTGATGCCCACTGTCAAGCTGTACGTGGCATGTCCATGAGCCCCGTGGAAGGTGGATGGGAAGTCTCTGCATTGTTGCAAAATAAGAATAATAAATATAAGAAATAAAAAGAAAGAAAATAATAAGAAGCAGATGCAGCCTGGAAAGATGACCCTACTTTTTATTTTCTGTTTTTTCCCCCAGAAATTAAGCCGAAGATTCAACAAACTGATGTTTGAGATGAAGCTGTCATAATATTTCTTTAGGTTTAGTTTGCAACTTTGCTTCAAAATAATTTATTTTTTTCTCCTTAAAGATCATTTTAATTTAATCAGGCCTATATCTAAATCCAAAGCAACATGCGACACTCATCTCTGTAAAAGAAACAAGGAAAAACAAAGTAACAAAATCCGCCCCGAAATAGAAAAGGCTCATACACACCCCTGCGGAATCTGGCAGGAGAACGGATACATATGCGTGCCAGGCTGAAGTTTTGCTGTCTCACCAGTAACTGCAAGAGGAAGACAAACTGACTTTATTCAACAATTACTGGTCATTTTGCAATGCTGCCCCTGCATGCAAACGTCCTTCACAGGCACATACCACTGTTTTCTTGCAAGAGGACGCTTGTCAATTTAAATAATTCCAATTTGGCCGAGAAATTTCTTCGGCTTCTTTTCTTGCCCCCACCGGTTGACCAGTGGACGTTCACCTTTCCTTTCAGTGTCATTGTTATCGCATAGACCTTCGTCTCCTTTGTGAGGTCGAAGGAGATGTGTCCTGTGATCAGGTCCCCTCTGGAGACCGTATTCCTCTCATTCAAAGCGTTAAAGTTGACGCTGAAGTTCTTTATCGTCTGCTGGAACATCGTTTAATTAAACCAGGCTCTACAGAAAATCAGAAAATAAAACTAATCTAGTTTAAGTTCCCCTGCAGTGAAGCAGTCGATTTGGTTAATCCAAAAACCTGAGAAATAGCTCATTTAATCATTACCACAGTGCTTTAAACAATATGCAAAACAAAACATAAGCTCCAACAGACCGCGCAGGCGCAGAACATTCAAGACACCCAACCCTGATTTTAGGCGGAGCCAGGGGCCCCAAGTCCGGTATCTGCGAGTCAGCGTGCTGCGCAGGACTGATAAAGTGACAAAAAAATGTCATTTTCTGCACATTTTCTTTCTTTCTAAAATCTATTCAAAACTATTTAAGTATACACACTTCATCGTGGGAACTGGAAGTGCTGAGTCCTCAAATCTGGCATAATGAAACTATTCTATCATAACAATGTTTGAAATTATAATAACTCTCTCTTTTTTTACTGGGGTTTACAGATACACACTGGTGTTTTAGTAAGTACAGGAAAAGTGGTTTTAGATTGCTTTTTTTATCCGTTTTATTTGCTAAAAAATTAGAATCACTATTAAATAGACAGTCTGGTCATTCAAATGAATGCAAAACCATTAATGTCACGCATTTAGCATGATGTTATTATATATAATAATATATATTATATATAATCAATTCTGACTGACTTCTAGCGTCCCTGCACTGCATGCACACAATTCACTCCATACTGCTACTTTTCACTTTATGCTGCAACAGCAACAGCAAATAGTTTCATTAGTGAAAAAGAAAATGCACTGAAAAAAAGCAATTACATTTTAATTGAATTACAAAATGCATTTGTGAAATGTAAACACCAAATAGATTAATCTTTTTGCAATGTATAAGGAGTTATTTCCCTGTATTATTTCAAGCAGCAGAATTTGATTAATTTATGATGTGGACTTACAAGACACTATACAAGAACAACCAAGATGATTATGTAACAGTTAATGATCTAATTTACTTCATCCTAAAATAGAGGGTGTACTCCTTAGATTTGCTTAAATTAAAACTTCCTTTGGATTATGATGTCCTGCATGCTGCGTTGGTGCTCAAGGCTACCTGTGATATTTATATGATGGCTATGAACACATTTTTAAAGTGGCAAAAACTCATTACTCATTGAAAAAAACAGAATTTTCTATTAAAATGTCTCTACTCTTTGTATTTTTTCACAAGTCTGTGAGTTTAGATGGAAGTCTTAAGGCAGACTGGGGACTTTGTCTCTGGTGACAGAGACTGAAGGCAATCAACTTACTGCTAACTAAACTAAACTAAACGTGCGATCTTATATATTATATATTTATCTGATGACATGAATGAACCTGATTTGTTTCTTGCTTCCTTTCTTCATCTGTGATTTAAAAAAAATAAGAATGGTGTTCTGGCCTGAGGGTAGTGCCTAGTGCGTTTCTAAATTTCTGAATCACTTTATCTCAACACTAACATATTTGCAAAACTCTATGGTATATCACAAACGATATGATCTTTTGAATGGGGGAGTTTTACCCAATACACATTTCTAAAACACAGACTGTAGATAATCATCATCATGAGAAGACAGAGTTTATCCGGCAACAGAAACATACTAGCATCAAAGTTGTTCAAAGAATTTTGCAGCACATTTTCATATTTCAAAAATAATGTATTTTTACCCGCACTGTAAAAGGCTCTAAATGATCATGATCAAAATTTAGGTCTTGGAAATGAAAGTCTAAATTCTGGTGGCGACAGCAGACTCCCACAGCACCTCATACTGGAGGCTCCCTGAAACAACCACCAGCATATTACTGTATCAACAAGATACCTGAATTCAGCTCTGAAGAGGTTTTATCCAAACTCATGTCCACTTAGCACTCCGTGTCCTCCATGGAGCCGAGAAAATTGACTAAAATTTAATCATGTTTTTATGGTTTAAGAATGGAGTGGTGTTTTTGTTTGTTTGTTTAAAGGGTTTATTCACTCAGCTACAGTGCACGGTAGCTTTTATTTTTTATTTGACCAGAATTTGAAATATACATGTAAGATTTGTGCCACCACCCACATGCAATGGAGGTGAATGACATTTAATTTTTGCTCATATAATTGGAAAATACATTTAAAAAGAGTATTATCTCTTTTCAAAATAATGTCCCTGTTAATGTGAATAATTTACATAACATCTAGCATCAGTAATTTCAGTAAATAGTTTTTTCCAATGCTATGAATACCACAAAATGTAATTTATTGGCATCTAAGGGATGAAAGAAGTGATAATAAAACAAAAGCTGCTGTTGCTGTAACCATTCAACCACTAGATGGCACAAAATACTTTATTCTGATGCTCACTGTGCTTCATATAGTATAAACCATGACTATACAGAACTTACAGAAAACATACCTTGTCATTTCAAGCCAGAATGTCACATTTCTTCCAGATGTAAATCAGTTATTTCAGAACTACTTCTGGAATCAGCATCACAGCGGCATTACAAACATAATGTTTTGTAATGCTTTAATAACAAGAGGTTAAACTGCCCTTTGATGGGTTTATGGTACACAATACAGCCATAAATGCTGATAACGACCCATTAAAACTGACAGCACAAGGCATATAAAAACTACAAGCACAAGTTAACTTCACCACATATCTTTTCATACCTGCTGTCTTGCTCTATTTGAGAAGAGAATGGACCTGCCAGCAGTTTCCACTAAAGTATGAGATTTTAGTGTGTGGTGAGGCACAACATATTGTACAAATGACTTGTCAGCGATTGTGTTTGGGCTGTTATGTATGGCAGCCGTGCATTGCTTGCTATACCAGACTCGCCCTATGGTGGTGTGTATCTACTTTATGTTGAAACATATTTAACTCTATATGGGAGTTTGCTCAATTTCTTACAGTGTATCAACAACACCGTCAGTTGTGCATGTTTTTAGCAGGAATTCAGCTTAAGAGTTGTATGAAGTTTCCATTCCACCATACTTGTACAAGTTTTTAAAACCTCCACCCCCTTCAATTTATATTTGCTAAGTGCGCGTGCATGTGGGACTTTATCAAGTTAAATGTTTGACAAGACAGTTAGATCAGAATCTTGATGTAGAGCTTCAACCGCAGTTTAAAACAGGAAGCGCTCAAAAGCAAAGGTCGCTTCAATCAACAAACTTTAATCATCATCATCTGTTATTCAATCCAACTATCCATTAGCTTTGCAAAGACTTAACATTCAGGGCTTATAAACAGCCTGGTGGAAAGAATTTTGTTGTTGTAATGGTACTGGGAGACTCAGATAGGGACTCAACTCTCCTGGAAAGAAATAAGAAACAATTACCAAATTGAAATAACACACTGTGTGATAATAATCATGTTGCCTTTTTGCCTCCATGGCTGATTTTCTGTCAACAAAATAACAGATATTTGATTCAAAATCCTGGCCTTAATGTTATAGTGTGACATGATTTCAACAAGTCCTATAGTGAATCTTCTGTGAGAACATTAGCATGCAATGGTTGTTGTAAATGTGGAAGCCTGATGGAGATGAGTGTTTGGCACATTCTGCTATCAAGTAAAAGAGTCTTAGCAAAATGATCTTGTGATGCAGATCTACATGTTGGACATTAATGTGTGTGTGTATCTTTGGTTGAATACACTCGCACACACAACCATTTATAATAGGCTTTGGCTTCAGCTGTCTCTGATAAGGGCACCTATCAGGTTTACTTGAGCTCACAGTGACTTGACTTTGCCTGCCAACTCGGTAAACCAACCACACACAGTATGACGGCTGCACACACACACACCTATCTCTCCATCCATCTCTTTATCTCATAGATATCGCATCACGTTGTTAATTGGATCATCCAGACGGCAGCGGTTGGTATTTTGATCTAGCCGTTTCCAATACTGGTGGAGTTACATCTAGATGACAGCTTTATTTTTGCTTTTATTTCTTTTTCAATCTTATGTGGTTTGACTTAACCCTAAATACACCCACACATAATGTTTACTCTGACATCCTCCATTCTGAATCTCTATAACAGCCTTCACCAGCTCCCATAATGAGGCAGCTGCATGGTGTGTGCAACATGTTTCCCTCATCATCGAAGTTCCTGTGTACCTGTACCTGTCCATTTTTCATGTGAGCTCAAACAGAGTAATTACTCTCTGTTTTCTGTCATTATTTCACCCCTTAATCACTCTTCAGTCTTTGTCTAACAATTTCTACTTTCACTATGTCACCCAGTTATAAACCTATTGTTTGTTGTACAGGAATAGAGTAGACATTTCAGCTTATCAGATCTAAATCCAAAGTGAAGTAAAAGAACCCAGAGGATAAGCCACGTTATTGATCTGTAGTTTCTACACACCGCCTCTCTCCTCTAGTTAATCCACAGGGTCAGCTCTAATGACATTGAGGAGCTCCTCTGGCAGTCGGGACTGCTGCCATTTGCAATTTAGATAGACAAAAAGGAGAAGAGGAGGAGGAGGTGTATGAGTGAAAATAAGCAGGGAAAGTGAAGGAGAAGGGAAACGGGAGAGGAACAGGAGGGCTGAAAACAGTGACAGGGGGGTAAAAGAGATGATGGATAAAAGGAATAGACAGGGAAGAGGGATGGCAAGAGGATGGGATGCACTGCAGGAAAATGGTTTGAAGAAAGGAAAGATACGAAGTAGAGTTGGTGGATTTGAATGACAGAAAGTGAGAATTTCAGTGTGAGACTGTGCTGACTGGGTTACGTCATGTCTCACACAATAAATACATTTGGCAACTTTCGCTCAATACATAAGGAAGTTTAACATTTTGGGAAATATGCTCATTGCTTTCTTTACAAAAGACTGATGAGAGGATTGACATTTTTATATCTGTCCGTTACCACCAGCAGCCTGTTAGCGTAGCTTAGCATGATTACTTGTCAAAAGGAAAACAAATCCACATACTAGCACCGCTTCATTAAAAACACATCTTGTTCATTTAATACATACAAAAACACAGTGTAATAACAATAATTTGCCATTTTATGGGGGTGACTTTAACGAATTAAAAATAATGTGCTCATTAGTGAACTTTAAAAGAGTAAAATAAAAATCTTGATTTTGTTAAACCTTCAGGCATCTGCTTCCCCCTGCTTCCAGTCCTTATGCCAAGCTAGTCTAACTGGCTGCTGCTGGTAGCTTCATATTTACTTTGCAC